GACCTAATTTCAGTGAAAAACCATTCACAGTCTGCTAGAGGTCATAAGGATGCAGTGAATACACTCTCTGGCACTTAACTGGTCCCTAGCAGAGCACCTTGTTTCAATCACTCTCTGCTGATGGGTAGAGTGCACAGCTAGATGCTGAATTCAGATTCATGAACCTGGCTCACTGGTCTGAGAAGTGCAGCCCTGAGCTCACTCTACTAGAGGAAAGGGCTTCTTGATGACCAGAGGAGACTGACAGCACTGCTCCACTAAAAGGATAGTCACTTCACTACCTGAAGTCCAGATCCATTATAACAGCAGAGGAATCATGGCCCAAAGTCAAGAGCAGTTACAGCACTGAACTCAATGTAGGCAAAAAAATCAGAAATTTCAGACATTATAGCTCCTCTCATCATTGTCTGAGTTTGAAAACCCCAAGCTCTTTCACTCATAGGAATGTCACTAGTCCAGTGCTTCTCCCTGGAGACACCCACTTCCACCCCATCACCCCAATCACTCCTCCTGATCCTGCCAAGCTTTCTTTTCTACCTGGTGGGTATGGGCAAATATTTAGAGCCCCCAAGAATCTTCATCTGACCTGTGATTCTTTCAAAACACGCTTCCTACTACAAAGACCCATAGGATGCTCCACACTTAATGTCACCATACCCTCCTGTGTGAGGCAGCTGCAGTGGCTCTTATCATTGCTCTTATCAACATTCTTACTGCAATATAGGACAGCTACTGGCCCAGAAAACCCTGCTGTACATTAAACACAGGACTGACAACTCCCATCCCCTTTCTCCTCAGCCATGTGGAGCCCTGACCCTCTCCTGTGGGCTCAGTGAGATGATAAATTCATTATTTGATTTACACACTTGTTTGGCAGAGAGCCATTTGTCTGTAATCCCTGAGTGCCTGTGGGTCTAGCATCCACCATTGCTTTAAGATGTGCAATCTTCAGATGAGAATCCCAGGGGAGTGAAATTCTCCCACTGTAAGGAGCAGCTCAGCTCATTCTGAAGACCAGAAGGGTCTTTCAAGAGGTTTTTGATGTGAGGACATCATAGCCACAGCTTCACAGAACTTCTGGCTTTCTTTGATGTTCCCAATGACATCAAGAGCAGAGCACAGATGCAAAGGTGGTGTCTGGATAGGAGATGGGGCAACTTAATTTTCAAAAGGGTCAGCCTCAGCTCAGGGTCTGAATTTACACTTAATGATTTATTGGTAAATTGGGTCAATGGATGTCAACACACATGACAACAAGTGCAGGTGGTCTTTAAGGGGGAGAGGGAGAGACACAAAACTGTCCTCGTAAGGGCTAGTACTGAAGCCAGTCCACAAGAGACCTCTCAGAGTCCCTATAAAACCTCAGGGGTGAGACCCAGAAATTCAAGCCAGGGGCTCTGAAAAGGCAGATTTGGCCCTGGCTTTAGTTGCAGTGACCATTGGACATTTGTATATTCTGGAGCAGTAGAAGTTGTTGGTAAATGGGCAGCTGCTCTATTAATGCATTTTAAACCCAGAGGCTGTTTCAAATAATGAAGGTCTCTAGCATCTTGAGAGGGTCAGGTGACTGGCTGGGTGTTAGCAATGCTATGCTCAGCTTTTGAAGAGTCTGGTCCTATTGTCAGGGCCCTATTTCCACTAGGCTGTGTGGCTCAGCTGTCTGTGGCATTTTGAGCAGCTGCTGATGGGACTGTGATCTACAAGTGTGGCCTCCCTCACCATATTCTCCTTGGACTCATCGTAGTTCCTTGGTAAGAGCTAGAATGTCTGGGAAAGTTGGGATACCTGGTGAAGTGGGGAGACCTGATGAAACTGGAGGCACCTGATAAAGCAGGTATGTCTAGTGAAGCAGGGATGAGAAGAGCCTTGCAGAGGATGTAGGCAGATTGGTCATGGATGCCTCTAGAATGTGGGAAGGAGAGCACAGTGCACAGGAAAAAAATATGTCCTAATACTTTTGCTGAGATGTAATTTTCCATGTAAGTCACATATTTTTCCACCAGCCAGTGGCAAAGACAGGCTGTGGAACATAAACCAAAACACCTTTCCAGTTTCTAGAGTCTTGACATGCTAACAATGAGATCTTGGCCCAGATGCAACTTTTCTTGCTTGTAAAGCCACAGCTGAGGCAAAACAGTTTAAGAGGAAGCTAGTGAGGCTTAGGATCCAATGGCCTAGGATGCACCTTGATTTTGCTGTTTTCCAGGCACATGATTCAGGGGAAAATTATTTATGTGCTCTGGGTCTCTGTCTATCAACAAAATGGTTCTAGAAAAGAGTTTTTACAAGAATGAAGTAAGCTGCAGCAGAAGCAAAGGTTGTACCACAGTGAGGGATATGGATGGAAGTGTAGTTCTTCCAGGAGTACTTTGCTGCTTGGAGGAGGAGCCAGGCTGGGGATTCCTATAGCTGCCACTTGTGCAGTGATGGGTGAGTTCCCTTCTGTGAACTTCAGTTCTGCCACTTCACCTTTTCACCTACATGCTGAGATTCTGGGGACTACATGATAATGTGAGCCAGCTTAGTGCAGTGGCTGTGCAGGGCAGTGCCTCATCCATAGTGGCTGCAATGACAGGTAGGAAAATGTGAATTTAGGGGTACAAACTTAGAAGGTTTCTGCTCAGCAGTCACTAACAGAGCCACTAAGGATGACATGCAAACACCCCCCAACTGTGTCTACCTATCAAGTGAGTTGTGGGGCCACATGTGCTTCAATCAGCTGTCTGGTCAAGTTTGGCCCTAATATTTGCACACACATATGACCATCCACACCATATGGTACCATGTGTGGTCTTGGTGCTGGTACTTGGGAAGGGCTTCGTAGAGCTTCACAAAGCACAGAGAGGGCTGAGCCATTTTAAGTGAAAGCTTTCCCACCTGCAAAAGCAGGAGCTGAGGGAAAATGAAAGCTGGTCCATCCAGTAGGAGACAGGGTATCTAGGCACACAGAGGCTAGTGTGGAGCAACCATGATGTGGAAATGGAGATGGCGGGACACAACATGCAAGGTTGGTTCTACTTAACCAAATTCAAAGACGCAGAACTATGGGAACCTCTTGAACTTCAAATGAACAGTTTTAGGGCAAATACAAAGAAGCCCATTTCACACAGTAGTTCCTGGTAAGTAAACCCTGAGAAACTGGGCTAAAAAGATGGGAGGGCACAAATAGGCCATGGGATGACAAATAACAGTGACCACCCCGGTTTCTTCTAATGACCCATGCTAGGCAGCTGGGCTCTGTTTGACACATACCAGCAGTTCTAGGAAGCAGGCCTCACTTACCATCTTCTAGGTGTGCGGTTCAGAGAAGTATAGCCATCAACCCAGGATCACATGGCTAGAAAGTAGCAGTACTGGATTCAAATCCAGATTGGCTGAATCACCAATCCATGCTATCACCAGGTTACTCTAATTCATACAGGGACATTTGAGTTTCTTCCATATATTCTTTTTAGAGCACATTTTTGGAGCATCCATTAGAGCCAAATGGAAATAGATCTTAGACTTGATCCAGCAAGGCAGTGCTAATAACTTTCAGAATATTGAGTATTTAAGGTCAAGGGTGAGCGAGATCAAACCTGATACCTTATTGTAGGGCAGTGGTTCTTAACTCCTGCTACACACTGGAATCACCTGGCTATACCCTAATCAATCAAATCAGAAATTGGGCTTGGACCCAAGCAGCAGGAATTCTGTAATTGCTGGAGTGAAATCATTGCCGTAGAGAAATGGTCTCAATATTCGTTGAGAGTATCAGTACAATAATACATATTAACAGTGTTCAAGCAGTCAGAGATAATGTAATTTTCATCTTAGAGACCCTGCCACTGTTTCAGCAGCTGAGTCTTGGATGGCTTAGTAGTTATTTGAACAACTGAAAACTATAAGTGAAATCCAATAAATAGTGTTAATCATAGAAAAAGTCTTAAGCAAAGCAGCTAAAATATAATTTTTGTTAAATAACGAACACTCATGAAACAGCAATGAAATGGTATTAAAATGTTTGTGATTACTTATTTCTCAGCATTCATCTGATAACTTAAGCAGCATGAAGCAACAGTTGCACTTAAAAATAACAAGAAAATAACTATTCATTTAGTCAACAGAAAATGTTCATCTCCTTTTTTTAGATCATTAGTGCCACCGCTTATCACCAAGGTGAATGCCAAAGCTTGTGTCTTTATGTTGAGATGGTGTCCACAGCTCCTTTGCCTTGAGTTCCTGGAGCAAACATTGAGGTCCTTCTGGGAGGGATCTTGAGACACACTGTGGCCTGCTCTTCCCAACCCTAGATCAATGAGGTCCAAGACTCCAAATTGCTGGGTGGTGACTGCTGAGTTTGGACATCTTCCAAGGGAGGCCAGATGATCCTAGGCTAGGTAGTGGAGGGAATGAAAGACGGGGACAGGGGACAGGTCCCACACTAGTATGACTGCATTCTCAGGGCTGGACCTATTGAAAACCAATGACAGTGGAGTTCCTGCCAGCAGTTGTGTCTCTTCATGCTCAGCCCTGTTTTCTTTCTGTAGGGAAGGTGTATAGACTGGGGGAATGCCAGAGGAGTCAAGCAGGGCAATAGACAGAAGAGTGACACATCCCCTGCCTTCTGTCTATTGCACTATATTCCATAAAAAATAAACACATCTCTACTATTTGTATATTGCTAATGCTATGGCATTTCAGGCACTGATAAGCTGCAGAGAAAGCTGCACTGTCATTAGTCTACCAGAATCCTTCCAAAGACAACCTTAATGGTAAGGATCTTTGGACCCTCCCCTTGGAAGGGTTAGCAGTGCCCATATGTCTCATGTTCTACACAGTGCTGTGAAAATTAAAGGGTAAAAATGAATGTATGGATAGAAAATTTCAGGGTGTTATGGGGTTTGTGACAATAATTTATACTACACAGCATCACACAGGTGTTTCTCCCTTGTTAGCCTTGCTTGCTCTGCATCTGCACACAACTGGCCCCAAGTTTTTCTGGTGTGCCCTGAAGAAGCTCATAGGTGATTGCTCTTGGAGAGGTAGGCGATGAGGGCCACAGCCACACCCACATAGATGCCAGTTCCAATTGTGATGGAGAGCACAGCCAGGAACAGGGCCCGCCGAGAGCTGGTGCTGGCCTGGTGGAAATCCCCCTTGGCCACAGCTTTATTGGTCTGCAGATTTGAAAAAGAAGGAGGGAGAAGAAAAAGAAAGTCAAGATGAGCAAGTCAGAACAAATGAAGCAAGTGTATGGCTCAGGTCTGGCTCCCTTCCAACATTGAACTTAACTGATTCCAAGGAGAGAGGATTTGCCAAGGGAAACTCTGTCTGCTCCCAGATGATGACAGCAGGGCTCTCTACTGGCAAGGAAGGAATGGAGGTCTGTTACTTATTACTGCTTCCCCAATACAGGGCACTCAAAGTGTAAGAAAACAAAAGAGCCTCAAGAAAACACCCATGGTCTGGAGTAGCCCAGGTGAGCACCACAAATGTGGGGCCCAGGGTCTCGGACACCAGTATTCTAGTAATGGGATAGGTACCACACTACTAGTGCCCTGCTTTCTACCCAATATGACATTTTCTTTCTTTTTAATAACACTGAATTTTCTAAAGCTTGTTCATACTTACCTTATTTAATTTTTATAGCATAGTAAGGGTGTGGGGAAGGACATTATAGTTCTCATTTCCCAGGGAAGATACTATCACATGAGATTATTAAATTGGCTGCAGGATACTTGAGACTCCAGTCTTTAGCTGGTGGCCTTGGAATTATGCTTTCCTAATCATGTCCCTCCCTTGCACAGCTAGATTTGTTACAATTCATCCATCAGTAAAGTGGTTTGATATAAGACCAATATCTAGATTTCTGTTTGCTCAATTATATACCAAGGTGTTGGTTTAAATCATGTTTCATATTGCCATGAGGCAGTAGGATGTGGAGGTTTTGGATGCTGTACATGATTTAATGTTTTATGATAGACCCATGTATGAACCCCAACCCCTTGTTTCCATGTCTGGCTCTACAAGTGAAGATTAGAAACAACACAAGGAGTGTGGTGACTGTTGTGTGATCTAGCTGTCACCATTATGGAGGGTCCCCCTAGTAAATGGAGCCTCATTTGGCAGATGAAGGTGGAGGCTGCCAGGGGGTATAACTTCCAGGGTCATGTGATAGTGAGGGAGTAACCCCAATTTGGCAGGGGATTCTTTATGGTCAAGGTAAAGGCAGAATCCACTCCCTTGGTAGAATGTCTTAACTCACTTTCTGGTTCATCTCCAGAAACCAGATTTTGGCCAGTTCCCATTTCCACGTGTCACCAGTGGTATTTCAACATGGTGTAGGCAGGTATGGGAGTTAATACATTTTTTTACTCCAACTAAAAACACTAAGGTCTTTGCAATGGACGACAAAAAGTAAAACTTTGAGAGGACTCATGAAATGAATTTCTGTCCTCTGCAGTCCTGACTTGATCTGATGAGATGCGGAGCTCTGTGTCAAGTTAAGTAGGGACTTTGGTCCACTTCATGGCCACTCTCTCTTTTCCTTAATTTTTGGATCTCAAAGGCAAGTTTTTATGTCTTCTTCCTTCCCCAAATTTTTAGCTTGGAAGTGAGCTTGGGAGCTACCTATCAAGTTTTAATGAAGCAGGGCTAAGGGAATACAAAATGGGAAGCTTCCTGAAACAGTAGTAATTAAGTTTTAATTAGCTCTAGTAGTACTCCCATACTCCAAGGTCCTAGAACATGATTCACTGTAACTGCTTATCCTCAGCCAAGCAGCCATTATCCATTAAAATGGAATTTGCTGTTACGTCTTCCATTAGCAACCTCCTTGTTGCCATTTGCCCTGGGCTCTGCTGTAGGAGCAATACATGCAGAGAGTGAGGAAGGGTGCCACTCTGCATTCCATACCTCTGTACTCAGTCCCCTGCAAGGAGTTCCTCTGTTTCAGAGGACTATCCCATCAGAATTCATAGTTTAGTAATGCCTTTTAATGCTTGCCTTCCTTGCTCAACTGTGAGCTCCAGAGACAGACCCACAATTCCCTTGTCCACTTGTTCTTCCAAAATCCTGGGCTTGTGCATTGGGGGAATGGCAGGAACTTAATAAGCATTTGATGAGTGACCAGGCGAGTGGTCTCTATAAGATTGTTCTCGTCAAATGTTCCCAAGTGGTATTGGTTCCCAGGTGCACATTCCTGGTTTCTCTGGTGGCCTTTATGAGGGAGGCAATGCCCTGGAGAATCTTGATCTAAGTTCTGGCTCAATTTTAGATAACCTCTTCCTTCCCCCTGGTTCTGAGCACACACACAGTGCAGACACTCTCGTCCCCATGAATCCCAGCTATCTACTTGGGATTCATCTTGCTTTTTGCTTTCATAGGCCAAGATGGGAGAACTTGATATCTATTTTTGTTTGGTTCTAGGGTGACTGTCCAACAAAAACCCAAGAATTGTGTTTAGAGATGTAAGAGATAATTTCCACTAAGATGTGCCAGAAACAACAAACAGATAAAGCCTCATTGACAATCAGGCTGCTTTCAGTCATGTTACTGCATCTTCATGTCATAGAGGCTCCATGAGGAGAACTACCATTTACATGCTACCTACAGACTGGACTTCATGGTCTAACATGGGAGATCCCTGTCATATTTCCTTTGTTTCAGAAAATGATCACAGTGCTATAAAAGAACTTGTTCCTCCCTTTGAGAGGTTGTGGACTCAAAAATGTTTCTATCCTGGTAACTTCTGAAATAAAGATACAGGGTTTGGGGACCAATTTTCTTCCTGTGCACAAGGACAGGAGCTCTTGCCCTAGGTCCATGTGCCTATAAACCCTTCATACTGAAGGTGAGACTGTGAGTGCATGCGCATTTTTATAACAGGGTCAGCCAGGCTCAAGCACCTGTGAATCAGGAGATAGTCAGGAATGAGAAAACTCCAGAGGCACTCCAGGACTAGGGCAAAGGACAGCAATACAGAACAGAGACCCTGTTCTAACACCAGTTTCTCAGGAATGAGGAAACTCTAGAGGTGCCCCAGGACTAGGACAAAGGACATTGATATAGCATAGAGACACTATTTTAAGGCCAGTTGTCCCTGCTTCCTGGACTGCACCTGCACAGAAGGTGCAGCATGGTCCCTCCTTCATTATAATAAATTAGTATTGTGGAGACCAGCCCCCAAGTGGGCAATAAAAAAAAAATGTTGAGAAACGCTCGGCCTGGTTTCAGAAGCTTTAACCCTGCAGACACGCAGGAGGGCCCCAAGGCTGGAGATAATCAGGAGGCCTTGGAGAAACATAGCCCCTGCCTCTCTGCTTTGCCATGGCTGGTCAATTAACCCATGACAGTTAAGGGACCTCGTGCTGAGGTTTTCAACCTAACACAGGTGTTGGTCCAATTTTGGCAGCAGATGAGAAATTGGGGGACATGGAGAAGGGGTAAAAAGGCCCCCACACCCCTTGGCTTGGCTTGGACATGGTTGGAGTCCTCATTGCAGCCAAGAAGCAGTCTCCTTATCTCTTGGTGGTTCCTTCCTGGGCCTGGCTCAGGCTTGAAACAATGTTGGGGGGTTGGGGGGGAGGGACAGCCCTAAATCAGTTCTGGTGGATCCTGGGTAATCAGGCCTAAAAATAAATTCTATAGAGTGTGCTGTGTTCGTCCCTCAAATCTCTGGTCAGCTCATGCCGTGAAGGACATTCACATTATTTACATCCTTTTCCTTGTCAAGACATTTGCTTTATTTACACCTTTCACTCTATATCTTTAAGACACCTTTAAGTCTACTTCCCCCTTATCGATAGTCTCTATTGTTGATTCTTTTTCCCTCTCAGACCCATGTAAATCACTGATTTCCTGTCACTTGTTTTCCTAAAGGGATCTATTCTCTGTGAAACTTATATTGCGAATGTATTGAGTATACGTATGCTTTCCTGTTATACCCCACTGATAAGATTTTCAATAAAAGCCTTGGAACAAAGGGCAATGGGTCTTTCCCATTAGGGGACTGTGCCATGGCCTTCTTTGGTAGGAGAGAATTGCCCCAGTCTACTCTCCCGGCAAACAGAGAAGTGTTTGTACGTTTGTGTTTGTTCCCCTCACCCGTGACGACCCCTGGATGGGCTCTGCGGGTTTCAGAGCCCTGCTCCCACCTCAGCTGGACCCAGACAGTTTCCCTCAGGTTTCAGGGAATGCTGCACTCTCTGTGGTCCTCCCCAACGGTGGCATGTCCCCTATAGCCGTGCAGTGCAACAGAAAGTCATGGGAGATTACATACTCAAGTAGCTTAAAAGTAATATAACTACTTGCACATGCATAATAAAAGCCCACCAAAGCTGGCCAGGAAGTATCTGCCCTATAAGAATAGAATCCCTCCAGCCACTGAGAGCCAGTCTCTGCTCAGAGTTAGTCCAATCTCATATTCTGTAGGATATACTATTACTTAATGCTCTCTCTCTGCTATAAACTCTCTGTGTGTTTGGTTCAATTCATTACTGTGATCACCAAGAAACTGGTTGCCTGTGTCCACTTGTGACAGTTTTTGGTGAGCCATTGCCAGAAGTTGCCAGAGTGGTAAGCCCCCTTTGCTGCTGCAGCACCCAAGGATATTTTCTTTCCATTGCTCTCTACTGGATTGCATGTTTCTATTCCATTTTGGTGAGTCATATTCCCTGCCACAAGTCCACTGCTAAATTGCAGGCACAGTTGGGCAGTTAAAAGCCACAAGGGTGCTCACCATTTGAAAACACCCATGAGAAGATAACCTGGATATGGATCAGGGTAAGCTTTTAGTCCCCATCAGGAGAAAGAAAATGTCTGGATGCCAGTCAGGAACACTTTAAACACTAGAAGATACTGCCCACTCCACAGCTACTTCTTCATAGGCATAGTTTGACCTTCCATACAGGATATCAGTTACCGCCTTCCCTGTGCTATGACTTCCTTTTGCAGTCTCCTTGTCAGGCCCACAGACAGTCATTTATGCTTGTCCTTCCCAGCTGATTTTGGCCTTTATGCCTATGCCTATACACCACTTGCCTGTTGTGTATAAAGGGTTCCTGCTGTATTTGTACCCAGAATACCTATTTTGGGGACACTAAAAGTCCCATTGCTAAGTACAGTTGTAAGAATGACCACTCCCATATTTGGCCCGTATATACTATCATTTCAAGCA